CCCACAACCTGGGCATGTGTCCTTGACCGGAATTGAACCCAGGACTCTTCAGTCTGCAGGCTGATGCTCTATTCGCTGAGCCAAACCAGCGAGGATCCAGCTTTCACTTCTTTTGGATATAAACCCAGAAGCAGAATTGCTGGATCATTGTCTATGTAGTTCTATGTTTAAATTTTTGAGGAACCGCCATATCATTGACATATCTTATGTCTCACCTTTTCCAAGTCTTTACTCAGATATCATCTTAGTGAAGCCCATTCAGTACACTTAATAAAAATTGCAGCACACACACCGTCACCCCTCCACGTCACACTTCTTTACATTGCTCGTTTTCATAGTACTTCTAACATACCATACAGTTTACTTATGATGTTGGTTTTCCCCATTGGAAGGTAAGCTCCAGGAGAGAAGAGGCTTTTTTTGTGCCTGTTTTTGTCCATTGAGATGTCCCCAGAATAGCCTGGCACACAGTAGGCACTCAGGAGATTTTTGTTGAATAAATTTTTTGAGTCACCTCTCCCGGCATTGGGATACCAAATGATTGAGGTGGCTGCCCTCATCAAGCCCAACTTGCAGTTGGGGAGTGGGAGCCGGGGAATGGAACTCAAGAACATCAGGACATGGTAAAGTTCCACTCTGCTCTTTGTTGTTTTGTGGGGACAAATATTCTGGGGAGTTTTTCCTGGGAACACATTTGTAGCTTCATTGGCAGATAATGTCTCCTTTCCAACCCCTCCTGTCCCCTCCCTTTTTAGTCTGGGTTCACCAATGCCTTTTCCTAAAACCCTGATTCTTCCTAGAGCTTGCAAATTGTAAGCCCATAGGTTAGATTCAGCCCACAGTTAGGTTCTGCTTGACTTCCCCATGTTGCGTTGGTAATTTGGGTTTTGTGTTTTCCGTTATTTTTTAACTTTACATAGTACTGCTTAAAATTATTACTTGTAAGAATTTAGAATTCAGATATTTCGTGAAAATTTGGATTTTCAGCTCCTTTTTAAAAAGGGGAAGTTTCTAATAACATTCTTGCATTGCAACGGAGTTGGTGCAGCATAAGTTCCCTTGGTTTGACAGCGTATCCTTTCTGTTCATCTTACCTGCCTGGCTTTGTAGGGGTTGAGCTTTATAGCCCATTCTTCAGCCAGAATGGTTTTGGTAAAATTTAATCCACACTTTTTAGAGACTGAAGTTAACTTTCATGTAGCTCAGGGAATTTTTAATGGGTCTTTTTTGCTAAGTGACCTAGTGCTATTGATGACCAAATGTAACAACAATTTTAAGAAAAAGCAAAAGTCTTGAAATATATTTCAACTTTTATGCATATGTTTATTTCCTCATACTTTTTAGTATGTCTTACTAATTTCATCTCCAGGCCCATATAGCTGTGGTCAGTTCATATAAGGGCCTAATATAATAAAAAATTCTCAATGAAATACCACAGATAAGAATTTAGATACTTCTTGTCATCTAATTGGAAGACAAACAATCATAGGATTAGAGTGCTGGGAAGAGGAAGGAAGAAAGCAGAAAAGTGGGGGGATCATAGTAAATATAAAATTACCCAATAAAATATCCACCAAAGTTAGTGTACTTAAAGTATCTTAAGACTCAGCGTCTTGGAACAAAATAAAACGAACCCCAGAATTTCATAGGGTTAAGATCCTGAAACTGAAAGCTAAGTCTCATACTCTACTGCTTGAGGTTATAAAGGTGGCAAATGTTTACTCAACTGAAAATAACCTATTTTATGGAAACTGACATCATTGTTGTGGTGACTATTATTTGTTTTCTATTCTTCTCTGGGTAAGGAAACTACATGCCACTAGTGTGAAGTGGGGAGCAAGAGAGGAGACAGTGGCCCAGTCTGCCTCCTGCCCCCAGCCCCACTGCCATGTTTCCCTTAAGAGGTGGCCTAGCTCCTGTTGTTTTCTGTGGTATTGTTTACATTGTTCTGAGTACGGGGCAGCGTGGGGTGTTTTTGTGAAGGAAAAAATGAAACCTGAGTCCCTGGAGTGACTTTGGGGGGATTGGAATGTTTTACTCCATGGGTAAAGGATGGTAAGTTCCTACTCCATAAAAATTAATTTCTAGCTACTACTTTTGTGTTCAGTGAGCAAAGGATTTTGTGACTTTAGTACCTAATTTCAGAGCAAGCCATTAAATCATTTCAGCAGCAGAGAACTTGAGGTCAGCTTACGGAAAACAGACATCATTTCCATTAAGCCTTTAAAGAACCAAGAAAAGAATCAAAGGTGCTCTGACCCAGGAATGCATGTCCTGACCTTTGTGTGCTGTGGTGTCCACAATACCACAGAGCTCACCAGTGTGTCCCCCTGACACACTTCTCCCTGAGGCACACGACGGCTTGTATAATGCCATCATATTCTACAACAGTCTGTGGACCTGGTTTTTAAAATCACCCCTCCATAGGCCTTGATGAGAGAAGCCTTCACTCAGGAGCCAAGATGAGCAGATGCAGTTAATATATCTACTACATTCCCTTACACCAGGGGTGGGCAAACTTTTTGACTCGAGGGCCACAATGGGTTCTTAAACTGGACCGGAGGGCCGGAACAAAAACATGGATGGAGTGTTTGTGTGAACTAATATAAATTCAAAGTAAACATCACTACATAAAAGGGTACCGTCTTTTGGGCCGGATCCGGCCCATGGGCCGTAGTTTGCCCACGGCTGCCTTATACTTTGTTCTAAGAACTGATTTCCTTTGTTTGCTTGGGAAGTGGTATGAGCTTACAATAAGTATTTTACTTATCATTTATAAGACTAGTTGTTTTTCTGAGTTAACAGGGAGCAGTAGAGAAACCAGTAAAAACATGTCTCGTTATATGCCTAAGCCAGGGGTGGGCAAACTTTTTGACTCGAGGGCCACAGTGGGTTCTTAAACTGGACCGGAAGGCCGGAACAAAAGCATGGATGGAGTGTTTGTGTGAACTAATATAAATTCAAAGTAAACATCATTACATAAAAGAGTACGGTCTTTTTTTTTTTTTTTTAGTTTTATTCATTTCAAGTGGGCCGTAGTTTGCCCACGGCTGGCCTAAGCAAATAATAGATGGGTGATGGAATTACATTTTCATTGTGGCATCTGGATACCTCTTAAGAACTCTGTAGTTCTCAGAATCCTTGTCTGGGTCCTCTTTGTTCTCAATTTTTGGGAAAAATGATGACCCCATTCAGTGTTTTTGTTAATGGCCACTTAACTAGAGGACTTTTTCTCTTCCTTTATTAGCACCTGAAAAAAAAAAAGGAGAGGCAGTAATAGTGCATTATGAGTGTCTGAAGTAGGCACTCTAGCCCAGTGGTTCTTAACTCATTGTGTATCAGAATTACCTGGAAAACTTAAAAACATATATACATATATAAGTATATGTGTATGTATATGTACACGTACGCACATGCATGCGCGCACACACAGAGAGAGATTTAGTTCTCTTTGAAGTTTCCCAAGTGATTCTAATGTACAGCCAAGACTAAAAGTCACTGGCAAGCCTGTGGGTTTCAGACTGTTTACCCTGAGCACCAGGGTTCCTTCAGAGTGCAGACTAATAGAGGAGGCTCTTGGCCATCCCTATCTCCTCTGCCTGAGCAGTTCCAGCTTTTGTCTACTTTACATATTGGCCTAGGGTTTCATTTGTTAAATAAGAAGCAGGGGATGGTTTCCACTGCTTTGAAGGAAAAAAGATTTTTTTAACCACAGCTCTAGACATAGGTCTTATGCAAGAATGGCAAAACAGATGTTTTAGCTCCAGTTTTTGAGCATGATGAGCACTGAATTCTTTCACAAGAATCTGCATGTCATGTAGCCTCTGAGGAATTCAGCAAAAGAAATCTGGTAATAGTACCTGTGGCCTAACCTTACTCCAAATGAGAAAGCCCAGGTCAGTAAAGTTAACTTGCCCAATTAGAAGCTCGCCACCAGAGAACCTAATTGATCACAATGTCCTTGTTTTGGCCCTTGTGATTTTTTTCTATTTAGACCACTTTCTAACCTCCAGTTTACTCCAGTCCCAGCGCTCCACAGTGCTTATACTTGACCAGTTCACTCACTTGCTTATCCTGAAGGCCTGGTCCCTGAACACATTTGTGTTTGTAGACCCTACAAAGCAATTTATTAGCAATTTGCTGTTTGCAGGGATATTTAATTTGATCATTAAGAGCGAACCATCTGTACTTGGCTGGTACAAAATGCTATAATTGCTTGTCCTTTTCTCCAGAAACATATTTAACTTACAGATATTTAGCAGCCATTGGAAGAATTATCTTTTATTTCACTTTCTTAAAAAAAAATAATGTGGCTATTATCTAAGAGGATAGCTTGTTTGGTATTAGAACTTCGCACATAGTTTATGGAACGTATTCATTCTAAGTACTTTATTAAATCTATTTCCAGAAAACCAGATGGTATACCTGTCTCTTGGTAGGCTACATTTCATTCCTTTTTTTTTTAAATCTAGGTCAGATCAAATCTAATTAAAATTGTTCTTCTGCTTTATCTTTTATTATTTAAACACTCATTGCCTTCTGTGGTCTCACTAATGGACTAATTTCCTGAGATTATAAATTGGCATGCTTTCATTTTCAGATTCCAGCCTATCATCATTTTTCTAGTTTTTTTGATATATTTGTTTTATGCTGTATCACAAAATGAGTTTCTCCCTCTCTTAAATCATTTGTCCCCTTGTAATTAATGAAGAAGGTATGCATCCAAGGATATTTACCCTAAATACCCAAATTTTTAAAAAGCAGCCGGGCCTTATTTTTTTTAAGTTGGCAAGTTAGTTTTACTTTTTGAAAAACAATAGTTAATACTAGGAAAGTACTTTTTTAAAAAAATTCCTAGAGCAGTTCTATACCATAAAACTATTATTGCCAATTTTTTGGCAACTATACTCTTTCTTATTATAACTTACAACTTGGACCAGCAAAGTATAGAAAGAGCATAATTTTAAAACATACAGCATAACTTCTTTTTCTTTTTGTAGCATTAATCTTATCACTGGTCATTTAGAGGAACCAATGCCAAACCTTATAGATGAAATGACAGAAGAACAAAAAGAATATGAAGCCATGAAACTTGTCAACATGCTTGATAAACTTTCCAGGTATTGTATTCCCGTCCATTTTTTGCTTGGTTTCTACAAATGTTCTCTTCTTTGTCTCTCTCGCTGAGAGTTACCATAGAGCAGCAGCTCTGGAAAGCCATGCTGATTGGCACAGGGTGGCCCCGGCAGCAGCAGTAGTCCTCTCGGCTCCCGTGTTCCCTACCTGTGCCTCTGGATGTGCACTCTTAAACAGTCCAATTCTCCAAGGTGGGACAGTAACTGCTAGGTCACTGTGACGTTTAACCAACTAACCTCCCTGTCTTCAAAAAGATGCTGAGTTAGGTTCAGTCATTTTGCCGCTTCTTGTATTTTTTGTTTTAGTCTGTTTTGGTTTTTGTTTAAAATCATGATGCTTTTTTTTTCTTTTTTGATGAAACCAAGAATTCTAAATTGTCATGTACCCAACAGGAAAAAGTGAAAAGGAATAGCTCAAATGAAGGCTTTTCTGAAAGCAGGCCTTTGTATTAATTAGGGGCTCTAAAAACAATCTCCCCTTCCCTTCTTGCTCCACATCTCCTTCTCCAAAAATAGTCAGTTTGGAAAATAATTAAATCAAATATATACTAATCAGCAACTAGTTGTCCTGGAGGAATTATTAGAAAATATTAATTCCTTTCACACTTGCCTGAATCGCTCTGTTTTCCAGTCATGCATTGAGTCCCTTTCTCCTTTAAGCCATCTTGAGTGAGTGCTTCTGTGTGTCAATGGCAGCTGTCACTTAAAGGTGAATTTCTTCTGTTCATCTCCTTTTTCACTACTATGTGAAGAACAGTATCCCTCAGCCAACAGAAGCAGCAACTGGAATAGGAAAGCCAATCGTTAAAGGAAAAGGTGTAACAAAGAGGGCAGAGGCTTAGAGCGCAGCAGGAGGCTGGAGCAGAAATGTGTGAAAACACGGAGAGGGTGACAGTGTGGGTGGGTGTTCAGACTCTCTGCCGTCTGAGCTTCTTCAGATGGTGCTGGCGGCGTGGCACAGTTACTTAGAAGTAAGTAGTTTCATCACCTGCAGACCTAGTGGAACTGCCAGCTAGTCTTTTTAAACTCTCATCTTTTCCCAGGGTTAGAATTTACAGTCACTGGCAATGCTTACAGTCTTCAAAAGACATTGTCATCTATTTGCAGATGACATTCTCCATACTTTTGATAGGATAGTCAAATATAAGATACGATATGGCAAACCTATAGGAGGTGCAATAACAACTTTGGAATGAATATATAAAAATAGGATTTGTGCTTAGCTGTTTCCAAAAGGACCCGATGAAACACAATGGTCTAATAGTCCCTCTGGGAGGAGGAGGAAGTGTTAACAGGACCGAGTGGAGCACATTAGTATGTTAGGACATACTAATAGTAAACCATTCAATTACATAAATATCATGTTCATAAATTATTTTAATAACATGAGTTCTTAAAAGATAACACAGATGCTAGTCAACTGGCCCATATATGCAGGATGAGTAAGCTCCAAGCTAGGAAAGTGGGAGATGGGGGTTAGAACTACCTAAGACAATAGAGTGTAATTCAGGTACTTACTGAAAGAGACAAGAGGCAACCCTAATATAAATTCACGTTTATAGGTATCCCTATAGCAGCGACAAAAACAATGCCAGGTCCTTCTTGTAATCTCAGGGAAATTCACATATTCTAGACGCTGCCAACAAATCAATGCACAAATGTCAAGTCTGAAATAACCAAGCTTCCACCTGATTTAAACTATGCCGCAAAGAAGAAGTGTACTCACCCAGCAGTACCCAGCAGATAGATGCCCAACTCAACCTGAAGGTGACGCTGATTTTTGCACTTACAAAGCAGAGCTAATAGGTCTTGTTGGCACTGATTTTGCTATTGAAAAATTGGAGCTAAAGGCAACTTTGAGAGTAGTCGTAAATGACAGACTTTGCATGACGTGTGGTGGGTTTTTTACATTGTTTGCCTTTCTGTGCTTTCTAACATTTGCTCTCACTAATAACAGTCAGTGACAAAGC